AATCTTCATGTTACAAGGGAAATGCATATTTTGGACATGATTTTTTATTAGACTCTTATCAAATTGCGGTGCGAGTTGGATATTATTTAAAAGAAATTAGTAAATTTGATCTTTCATGATTTCATTGGTGATTTCATTTAGGTTTATATTGATTAAATTGTTGTCAAACCCAAGTCTAAGAAAGATCACTTCACACACTTAAAATATTTGTTCAAAAGAATTAGAAAGTATACTTTAAAAAATATTTCGATAGTGTCTAAGTAATTGCAAAGAAATTTTGGGAGTTTTTAATTCATGAAAGAGTGTTTGAACAACTTTAAAATTGGTTGTTAAAATAGTCTATTTTTAATTAGAGACACGATTCAAAGTCTTGAGAGATTGCTCTTCGCACCTTTAGTGGTGAAGAGTCATTGTTATAAAACTCAAAAATATCCTTGACACAATTCAAAAGTTAACCTTCGAACGTTCTTAATACACGCCAAAACATTTCGTAAGTGAGTCGTCTCCATTTTACCAAAAAATTGATGCAAGTGTGAGACTGAAAGTTAATTTCTAGACTAACTCCTGAGCACATTTTAAACTTAATGATAATGTGTTTATTTCACAACTCATTGGAGAATCCATAAATTAAATGTTGGAGTAACCCTTACCCTTAGGACAAGAAGTTTCTTTCCTAGTAGTAAGTTTGTTATAAATTTGACATATTTTAAACTATTTGAACAAAGGATACATAATTATTAAAATAGTGAGATTTTTGAAAGGTCTCTTACAAAAAACATCACAAGAGTAAATTCATCAGGTTGAACTTTTGAGACAGTAGAAAGGGACATATTTCTCCAAGAAAACAGTGTGAAAGACACTTGAAACATAAAAGACGATGTTTCTACGTTAAGTGATGTAGCACCAACAACTAGCCGCGAGTGTATAGTTTTTTCACTTCAAACAAAAGTATGATAAGATCACTATGCCATATCTCAATCTTTTTTAATAGTCAGACATTTTACCTTTAATTAAATCAAAAAAATCATATCACAATTAAAAAAAAATCAAAGATATGAGACAGAACATATAAAATCAAACAAATTATGCTTTTCAGAAAAATTTTAAATTAACTTCCATACTTGACAAAACCAAAAAGACACAGTTGATTGTATTTTGGATACGTAAAAGACACATAATTGGTTGCATTTTGGATACGTCCTGGAACTAAGTTCTGAATTTTAGAGATATTCCAAGTCTGGGTTCTAAAGCAAGCACTTGTTGGCCAACCCTCTTTTCAACTTTCGGGTGTATAATATCTTAAGCTTTAATTTAACTCGAAAGTATTCTTAGCCAAAAACCCTTACACTTTACGCAATATTTTGTATATAGCTTAACTTCAACGGATAAAAGGTATGGGATGTGTTGATTTTTAACACGTAGCAGTAACATCCAAGAGGAACAATCCCATTCATAACAAGTTTAATTTAACATAAACCTTAGTTTAAACATTATATCCAACTATGGCTTCACATATTCTCTGATAAACTCTTCTAGCTGAGATATCTCTCCAGTTAAACCAGAAGCATCTGCAGTTGTAACTTTGTTAGAGCACTGAGTAAAGGAAAATGGCTCGCCAGGTACTCCCAGAGTGAACTCATTTGTAACGTCAGCTTCTGAAACCGCGCTTCTTGATGACCGTAATTTGTCACTGAAAAAAGGATAACATGAGTCAATAAGAGTTAAAACAAACCAAACATTTTATTGGGTGTGAAGACAAATAACTGAAACAGTTTAGGATTTGCAGCCATACATTTCTTTCTCGAGCTGCCTGCAGATGAATTCTTTAGTGTGAGCAGTAACTTTGTCTGCTTTGTTGCAGAGAATAAGCAGAGGAATCTTCTTCCTCACAACACTTCCCTTGGTCAATAGATCATATAGGTACCTTAACTCGTAAAACAAAATGTCAGTATCTTTGTAATTCCCAATCCCTTCTTCCTCAAGAAAAGTGAGAAATGGTTAATTTGACGTAAATAATATAATGCTTTAGTATCGTGAGTATTCTATTTCTAACACACCCCAACATGGCGAATAACTACGATTAACAAAAAAATGTAACTTTATAAAAAGATGAGGATCTAGCAGCTGAGTGGAGAAGGGAATTATTCTGAGGCAGCACGGCAATTTGGTAAGAAGTCTAAAGCATCGACCACAAAAACTGCGCCAGCTGCTTGAGGCAAGTACTCGTCCAGTTTGGGTCGAAGACGAGAATGTCCAGGAACATTAACAATATGAACAGGTTTTATCTTGCCCTTCTGTCAAAACCTCGTTCGTAATATAGTAGTCAATAGCGGCACTATCCCGATATTGCAAGTGGAGGCCGGCCGCTATGGGAAGAGCCTGGTGCAGAACACTATAGCGGACGCTATAGGGTAAATAGCGGGTAGCGGGGGCGGAGCGGTGTCCCGCTATCCTTTTCCCCTCTGAAAAACTGAAATTATCCCTTAAGTTTAAAACGTTTTAAGGGTAATTTTGGATTTTTCAATCAAATTTGAGTTGAGGCTTAACCCTAACTTTCATTCACCGACGTTTCTGCACTTGAGTAGTTACAAAGAAAAATCACAAGTTCCTCCCTCATCTCTCTCTGCACTACCATCCTGCTAAATGTTATCTCATTATCCCGCTATCCCATTTTTGAGGTCGGCCGCTCCGCGTCGCTATCTAGGATTGATTACTCTAGTTCGTAACGAAAACTGAATTGCTCAGCATGGATAAGACCTCGAGAAATCAATTCATTTCTTGTTTTCAGATTACAGAAAACAAAGGATTCTTTCAAAACCACCTTACAACCCCACCATCATAATATTTAGATCCTTTCAACAAACCCTTCAAACAAAAGGACAATGCAATTACATAATAGTTTCCAAGAAAGAAAGTTATTTATTTCTTTTAAGCACTCATTCCTAACCCCACTATCTTAGTACTAGCTTAAAACCAAAAATTGCTGAAAACCTAAAACATAAAGCAGTAGTATCCTACATTGCATCTTTATTTCACAAATAAACACAAAATTAAGCATATAATGAAAGTGACCTCGAAACAACTCTATACTCATTAGACTAAATCGGGCATCTATGTACTGACGCTTCTTAAAAAAGATGTGTCCGTGTTGGTATCACACACCTGCACCGACACTTGTGATTACGATTAATTTATTCATTTTTTCCAATTATTATCGGTGTCGTCGTGATAGTGTCGGGGTTGTATTCGAGGTGTAAAAAACACACACACTTCAGATTAAATGCATGTTCATGTCCAATACCACCAAATTGCATTCAACCAGTTCCATTTTACCAAATTATTATCAGTGTCAACTAATTATCCACTAAATCACCTGATAGAAGAGAACGGTTTTCCCACTGCCACTGAGTCCCGTCAACACTAGGGTGTTAGACTTGGTACGATTCAAAAACCGCACTACAGAAACAAACAAAAAAACCATCAATGAAAAGCTCAGAATCGAGAATCGAGCAAATAAGTAGAAAATCAAGAACAAAATATAGCTACTTACGTAAGAGAAGAAGCAGGGTTGTGAAAACGGCGATAGCAACAGCGGCATAGAGTTGATTTGGGGGAAGCTGGCGAAGATAATCATTTGCTACACTCCAGAGATGAGAAACCTGTTCTTTCCATTGATCTAACTCTTAAATTGTGAAATCCAAGATATTTTTTCTTTATTTTCTTCAAACTCGTTTTTTCTTGAATCACTTAAAATATATATTTTTTGTTACAAGGATTTTCCCATTTTGGTTTATTATGCGCTTTTATCACAATAAATTATTTTTATGACAAAATAGTGTAAATAGAGTCAAACTGTTTTTACTTTTTAAATATAGTAATTAAGAATGTAATTTTATTAAAAAAAGTGTTAATTGTGTTATAATTCTTATGCAATTGTTATTTTTGAATTTTTCTTAGTGCAAATTTGAATAGAAAGAAATTTGAATATTGAAATACTTTGGAATTTGAGAACTAGTGGAAGGAATTTGCAAATACAAATTATGTCTATTGTTTGGTTATTTTATTAAAAATATCTCATTTCATCCATACATTCCAAATTGGATGGAATAAAAAATGGAGATTTGGATGGAATCCTGCTCTATTTCATTCTATCAATTATTTGTAAATTTAAACATTGGAATCACATTAGGTATATTGATTTTTCAATGGATCATTCTTTGATACCTTCAACTAGTTCTCAAATTCCAAAGTATTTCAATATTTAACAATTGGTGAAGTTCATAATTATTATCAGAATAGTGAACAATACTAAGTTCTTGTGTTAATGATATCATCCCTAGTGATATTAAGAATACTCGAGATATGATAAAGAAGTATGAGGAAGAGTTAGATTATGTAAAGAATTTACTAACTTTTTGTAGGCAAAGTTACCCTAATGGTGGTGTTAATGCACAAGGATCATCTTAAGCGAGAAAATCATTCCTGATCAATTCAAAGATCATGTTGATCATTTTATTTCAGGATTCATTGATTCTTTACTGGTGTCTTTTTTTCTTTCTTGGTATATTTTTTGCTGTTATTTTCAGTACAAACAAATTGCTTCAATATTTTGAACCCTAATGTGTCGTGTCTTACGTAAACGTGTCTTAAACAAGAGATACACTATTACAATCTGAAGCGTCGATGCTACATCAAAACCGATTCGACAATATAGATGAAATCATAAAATGCCTGCAAAAACCACCAGACAAATAGCCCAAATCTATTTTCAAAACATTGTATAAACCCAAATTAAAATAGATAATCTTAATAGAATTAATAACAGTTGATACCAAAATCACATTGATAAACAAACTAGATATAAGAAACATATAATATAATTACCACCAGAAAATTTTCCAAAATTTAAACAAAAACAAAATTAAGTTAACCAACATAAGATCAAGTGCAAATGTATGGAATCAAATTACTGAAATCATAAAAAGCAACAATATAAAAACCTAAGCAGTAAGAACAACAGCACCACCAGCTTCCTTGATCTTCTTCTCCGCGATCTTCGAAATAAGCTTCGCCTTAACAACAATAGGCTGATTACTAGGTAAAACACCCTTACCAAGAACCTTGAAGAAACCGTGTTGCGTAACATCAATAACAGGTGCAGTTCCCTTCGATTTCGCAGCCTTTTCCTTCACATCTTCAGGAATCAGCGACCAAAGCTTGTCGATGTTCACGATCGGGGAGTAGAACTTGTTGCGGAGCTTGTGGAAGTACCTCATACCGACTTTACCGAAGTAACCGGGATGGTATTTGTCGAACAGGATACGGTGGTGATGCATACCTCCGGCATTACCACGACCTCCAGGATGCTTTCTGTGCTTTCCGATTCGACCGTGGCCGGCGCTGACATGGCCGCGCTTCTTCCTGTTCTTCTTGAATCGTGTTGTCATTGTTGCCGTTTGGTTTCACCGCCGCCGTCTGAAACAGAAAAATAGAAATGGAAATGGGGTTTTGTGTTATTTTATATATGATTTGAAGTGGTTTACTTTTTAGTCCCTAGGGTTTGGGGTTTACAAGACTTGGAGTTAAGGGTATTAATGGGAAAATGAAATTGAATTGGATTTGGGCTTTTTATTTCCTGTCTGGGAACTAATAGTTTGTAATATTTGAAAACTCTATTTGCTACCTTACATATGTACATCCACCTCCAATTTTTTTTTTTCAATTTACTATCATAATTAACTCTAAATAAAATTATTGTAATTTTTATTAATTGATATTTTTAATTTTTTTATTTCAATACACCTAATTTTCCAAATAATAAATGAAAAATGCAAAACACGAGAATCCATTCCGAACTTTTTAATATGTCAAATATTTAATATTTCCTAAAATTAAAATGGATACACATTAATATGTGAAAACTAGTATATATTATCAATATATTTTGTCTCCTTAAATATTTTGGTTATATATGCTGTGGGTTTTAGACTTGACATTATGTAAATCCCTCATTTTCAGTCATTATTTAAATAAGTTTATAGATTGTAGTATCATGTAATGAAACACATTGAATTTTTTCTTTCTCTCTTTGTTAGACATGACAATGAGGCAAAGCGGTGATGAGTTTGTATAATGTCAGTTTTACCCATGTCTTTGTTTAATTTATGCAATGACCTCTGACACAAAAATATTAAAAAGATTTAATATTTTTTTTAGTTCTATATCTTAATCTCATGGTTTATTTTGACACCTTTATTTAAAAATAATTTATATGAGTTCTTTAACTCTTTAAAATGTTTCATATTATTCATTTTTGTCTTATTAATTAAGAAAAAAATTTTAAAAATTAATCGTTAAATCTATCGCTAATTAGATAAAGAGGACTATTATGAAACATTTTAAAAAATTAAGTAATTAGTATGAATTTTTTTAAAATTAAGAAGGCAAAATAAATTTCAAAGTTAAGATCCAAAACTAAAAAAATATATTAAAACTATTAAAAACTACGTCAAAAAAGCAAAGAGAAGCAATATAAACATAACAAAAAAATACAAAGATAAAAAGCAATAAAAACTTTCAATTTAAATTCCAGAGCAAATCATCCTCAATACTATATCAAAACAAAGAATAAAGATAGATCTCATTTCCACAGCAGGATCACAGTCTACTAAGAAAAGAAAAGGTACATCCACACTCACAATCTGACTATTATTATTATTATTATTATTATTATTATTGTTATTATTATTATTATTATTATTATTATTATTATTAATTTTTATTATTATTATTGATTTCTTTTTCAAAATTTATGAATCACATAATTCACTGAAACATTGCCATGTCTGTTTAGGAGAATGTGCTTAGAAGCTAATGACTAAGAAAATTATGTTTTGAAAATTTTCACAAATGTATAAAACTTATAAGCAGAATACAACTCATAATAATTCACAATTTTATCTTCGGATTTTTTTTAAAAGTTTGATACTGAAATAAAAGAAGAAACCACTATTAAACCGAAAAAGAGATTGTGCAATTGTTTTTTTAACTAATATATCATGAAATATTAAAAATTAAATATATATATTTAGGACAAAAAGTGATCAATATTTTTTAATCAAAATGTCTCTTTTTTTTTTTTCTTCCTAATAAGATTACTTATCAAAATCCTTTAACATATTCAAGAATTGTAACTTCATAACTACTTAGTAACAATAAGTAACTAATTCTTTAGTTATAACCAACTCTTTAAGAAGTAATAACTAACCATTTTACTTATCATAACCAAAAGCACTCTCTCTCTTTCTCCTTTTACATTCTTTTCACAGTAACCATTTTACTCCTAAGGGATACTTTCAAGAACTGTGCATGTGCATGCTGCCAACATCAAAGACGTGTTGGGAAAGAAAACAAATATAGAAGATAGTAATAAAATGCGGAAGCTGCTGGATCAACTTTTCTCCTGCGTGCAGTTAAAAATAAACCTCAAGCAAAATTGCTCAGACAACATTAATAAGTACAAAATAGAGCAAACAAAATTGCTCACGTTGCAGCTCTCTTCCCTCTTACTGCTGTTATATCTAACACACAAGGGTTAAAACCCTTTTAACCATTTCATGGGATTTGGCCCACAAAGCTAATTCCTTTTTTTTTCTTCTTTTCTTTTAATAATAATAATAATAAGATTAAGTGGGCTCACTTATTTTGGTGACCCACACAACAAGACGTAAGTGTTCTCCAGATTGCCCTTTCACTCCTTATTTTTCGGCAGATAAACCAAAAATGTTCGCCAATGCTAGTCGCTTGTTCGGTGTTTCTAGAATGTTGAAGACTCTAAAGAAGATTGAGAAAAAAGATGAAGCAATGAAGTCCATAATTTTTTAGTCGGATATTCTTACTAAATTCCCGGTTCACGGATGTCTCGGTGTTATCATTGAGTATCAAAGTATGATACCGAACTACGCCGAAGAGTTGGATCGAGTAAGAAAGGTACTAACTTTGTGTAAGCTATTTCAAGAACAAAATCTCTTACCTGGTTTTTCAATGGATCATTCTTTTATACCTTCAACTAGTTCTCAAATTCCAAAGTATTTCAATATTAATTAACAATTGGTGAAGTTCATAATTATTATCAGAATAGTGCACAATACTCAAGTTCTTGATTATCAATGTGATTTTGCCTATAATAATATGGATTGGATGAATACTTTCTTTGACATCTACAAAGAAATGAGCAACAAGGTTTGCATGTCTAATAGCAAAATTAATTATAGTTTTCCTTTGATTATAACAAGGCTTTACACTTTCAAAAAATAACTTTACATCTAGTGCAAAGTTCCCATAGAGAAATAGTTAGAAAATGCTCCAGTATCTAAGCTTGAAAATAGGTTATACAAAAATATTAGGAATTATATAAAAATATTATGTTACATAAAGGAGATGTGTTTTTTTTTTTTTTTTTCCAATTGTCTTGTCTTGAACTTCCTTACATTGTTCAGTTTGGCGTGTTAGAATATGTAATTCAGTGTTTTAATAGGTAAGATATATTCGACATTAGTGTATTCGGCATAGTGGCAATACAACATGTGTGTCGAAGTGTAAGAAAGTATTCGACAGATTCGAATACTGAAGTTTGTAATTTGTATGCTTGGTTGCCTATGTATACATGTAACATTGTAATTAAAGGAAAACAACTTCACTTCAATAAAATCCATTTTTCACAATATAATTTCACTTTCTTATTTTTCATTCTTTTGGAAAACTCTAATTGTCCCAACAAATTCATATCAAAGAGCCGTTAGATGTCAATCTTGCTTTAAATTTATCATTTATAATTGGTATTTTTAAACTCTTTTGTGTTGATTTATTGAAATTTCTACTTGAAAATTTGTCATTCTTCAATTGTTTAAAATACCTTTGATACCTTTGATTTGTGTATTATTGTGCAGAAAGTAAGCATTAAATCATCAAAGTGTGAGACACAGGAAATTGGACGAGGTTGCCAAAGGAAGAGAAGAATTTTAGTAAGTTCGCTGGAAAATTTGCTAGTGAACGTTCGCTTTGCGAACAACTGACAAAGAACCAGCGAATGCTCCCAGACTTGAGACAGTAGAAAAAGGCCTGTAAGTTCGTTGGGCAAACAAGCCAACAAAGTTTCGTTGTGGCAATGCGTCAGCGAAGAGCTAGCGAAGCATCCCAGACTTGAGGCAGTAGCTAAAGGGTCATAAGTTTGTTGTACAAACTTGTAGGCGAAGTAGTTCGCTAGGCGAATAATCATTCGCACAGCGAACTTCAGAGTTGTCTCAGAGGCGACTTAACTGTGCAGAGGTACATCAGGTGCCTAATTTGATGTTCGCTAGTGTTGCATCTCAAAAAATCATATCGGACATTACAGAGAAACCACTCTCGCGCTAAAGGCGCGGAAATGCGGTTTGATGAAAATGTACAAAGCTGTATTATGATTCTTTCCCTCGGGAGGCAACTCTCCATCATTGAAGCTTAGAATATGCGCGGAGGCAATATTTGACACAACTCCTTCGAACTACACAACTGGTATTTCCTGGGGAACATGAGCAGTCTTTAAAAAACTTTCTCAATGACTCCTGATGGGCAGGGGAACACATTAGTAACCATAACATGGAAATCTTGGAAGGTGTTTGGTTGAGCTGGTCAACCACCTTATAATCACTTTTTCGGATGATTCGTAGAAATTCTTCAACATCTTCGCCGAAATTTCCTTTTTTAGTAGAGATTTGCCCCTGCTCAATCGTTGTCTGCTTCTCATTTGTACTGTTTGGTGATGGTATGGGTGCAAAACACATAAAACTCTGCTTCCATCTTCAATATCCACACAAAACTCTCCACCTTCAATAACGTCATCTTCAATAACTATAACTTTATCAAACCCCAACCGTGTAACTCTCTCAAATCCACCAGATAAAACAACAAACAAGAATCAATAAAGATGCAGGAAGAGAGAACAAGGACGCAAGTGAAAACAAAATCAAATAGTGAAACAAAATCAAACATGAACATTTTTCACCACTCCTTCCATTCAGATTCTCGTGAACACCGTTTCAAAAACAACAACAACTCGCGACCTTGAACGATACAGAAATGACACTATCGCAACATACATTTTTTCTTGGATATTCTCCCACAAGTTGAAAGAACAATCCACCCCACCAAACAAATCCCTCCATCGTCCTCTTCCTTCGACAAACAAAACGGAACTACCGTAAGGATCACCATCAGCCGTGCCACCGTGTGAAGAGGATACGAGATGAGAGAGTGAGACCGCGAGAACAGAGAGCGAGCAGATCAGTGAACGGGAAAAGAAAGAGATCGCAGCAGAGAGAGGGATTTGTGAAAAATTCACCGCGATCGAGAAAGCAAGGAGCATAAAGGTTCAGAGAGAAGGAAAGATCACATATGAAGGTTTGCATAG